TTTATTATTTTATGTATAAATTATATTTGTTATTTTTTTGATTTATTTAATAATGAATATGTTTTATTAAAATAAATTTATTTTTTAATTAACTAAAATATGCAAATTACGAATATTATAGATAATTATATTTTATAGTTTTAAACCAATTTATGAAGTTATAATTTATATATAAAAAGATTAATTATAACAAATACGTAAATCGCCCCATGATAGTAGACCCACCACGTAGTATACCCGGATGCGAATTATGAGATCTATACTAATCAAACATGAGGTTTTTCAAATATCTGGATTGCCTATTATAAATGCAAAACGTGCATACCCTTCAAAGGTTTCCTCTTAGTGACATGAACTCTTGGCTGTATACTATACCCGAGGTCTATTATAGGTTTTAAAATTAGTGGAATGTAAGAGACCCGGTGTTACCTTCAAAATTGTTCTGCACCCCGTTATTTACATTTTCTTTATTATTCTTTTTATTATTATTTTAATTACATTATTATTATATATTATAATTTTCTTTTATTTGTATTTTACATAATTATTATGACTATAATTACTCCCGCGTTAACTACTTTTATAGTCTTTATTATTTCGTGGATAAATATTTTAGCTTATGATTGATAATCTTGCTATTCCTATTGGGGCTAGTTTTTATACCCCCCACATTTATTTACCATACCCCAACAGAACAAAAACTTTGCGCAACGATATCTTGGCAAGCACCTGATAAAATTCGATGAAAATTTTTTTTTATTGTGATTCTATGAGTTTAGTCTATTCGAATAAAAAGAAATTTGTTGAATTTAGTCAGGTTGTTGTCGATATATCTTTGCTCAAAGTTTAAAAAACTCAAAACGCCTATCAAAATAATTTTTTAAAACTTTGAGCGAAGATATCTCGACAACCACCAAACCAAATTCGATGAAATCTTTTTATTCGAATGGCCTAAACACATATAATCAAAATAAAAAAAGTTCTTCGAATCTGATCAGGTGGTTATCGAGATATCTTCGCTTAAAGGTTTAAAAAAATACTCAAAACGCCTATCAAAATAAAGAAGCTGTACCAAATTTTTTAAAACTTTGAGCGAAAATATCTTGATAACCACCTGATCAAATTCAATGAATCTTTTTTTTTATTTGAATTCTATAAGAATTGAGGATTAAATAAAAAAGATTTATCAAATTTGATCGGGTTGTTATTGAGATATCTTCATTCAAAGTTTTAAAATAATTTGGTGCAGCTTCTTTATTTTGATAGATGTTTTGAGTTTTTTTTAAATCCTTTGAGTGAAGATATCTCGACAACCATCTAACCAAATTCAACAATATACTTTTTATTCGAATTGATTAAACTAATAAAAATTTTTTATTGAATTTTATTAGTGGTTGCTGAGATATCATTGTTCAATGTTTTTATTTTGTTAGGGGTATAGATAAAAAATGTGGAAGTATAAAAACTAGCTTCTTTCCTATTTTAGTCCACGATTGTCCAATTGTTATTACTTCTATTTCAGGTAAGTTTAGTTGCTGTATAAGTATCATAAAACTGATGGAATCAAAGATCTTGATTGAATTATTAATTATTGAGAGTTTAGTACAGGAATGATTAAGAAGCAGAATGTTGTAGAAGTTTTTGTTAATAACCTCAATGATATTGTATATTATTTTTGAAGTGTTCAATTTAGCTGCAAATTTCATTCATATATAAAAACCCAATGTATTTGCCTTGCTATATTTCTTTAGGTTCTATCTAAATGATTTCTTCTTTATAATAAAGTCTTTTAAGTAATTTTTTTAATTATATTATATATCCTTATCTTTATATCTTATTCTATTTTTTACTTTTAATTTACACTATATTACATTGTGTATATACTAATAATATATACTATAAACATATACTTATACTAACTCTTTATATTTATAAAGGTCAATAGAAAAGAGACAAATTTTTTCTAAGTAAAAGTTTTCTTGACTTTAAGCTTAAATATCTTAGCAATTATTTTATCAAATTTAATAATTTTTTTATTTTAATTCTTTATAATTTTAATATTAAATAAAAAAAATTTTAGCAAATTCAATTGTTGAGATATTTTAATTTAGAAATAAAAAAATTTTACTAAAAATATTTTGTCTCTTTTTTATTAACTTCTCCATATATATATTTATTATATTCTTTAATTATTGCTTACAATCTTGAATTAAACTAGCACATTCATTTTTCAAGTTTTTTTTTATTTTAATAGTAATATCAGGTCTTGTATATAATAATTTATAGTAGTTAATATATTATATTTAAAAAATAATAAATTCTATACTATTAAAATTTTAAGCATCAGTCTGATATTTGTATAATATATTATTTGTATAAAATTAATAAAATTACAATTATATCTGTTTACTTTAGCAGTATAAAATCAATTCTATATATTTATAATAGTTTTAACTATATTTATTTTTATTCTTTGCATAATTTATACTATAGTAATTATGTATAATTTTTTTTAAAGGTCAAGGTAATCTCTCTGGCCTAAAAGCTTTTATTAGAGTCTTAATGACATTTTGTGAATTACAACAATAGTATATCAAGCCACATATATGCTTTTGATTTCTAATTTAAGTACTTCATCCAAAGCAGTAGTGTATTGCTAAGGGTTCTACATATCTGTCATATCTGTACCCAACTATGAAGATACACATTTAAACTACAGTACACTCTCTCAAAACCAATTTTGTCAAAACTGATAACCTGTTATAACTGATAAAAAATTGATTCACCATGTCTGTTCCATAATTAAAACCTGATAACCTGCTATTTCTAATAACTGATACCCAAAAGACCAGATATCTATAAGATATCAGTTTTGGCAGATAATATAAATCGATTTAATTAGCTAAGATTAAGTATTGTGCAACAGATTATATATATAAGAAATATAATTTAGCCAGTTAAATTTATTTGTGATCATATGACAGCAGGTCATAATCAATTTTCAAATCTGATAACCTTTCAAAACCAATTCAAAAGCTATCCACCATGCATATTGGATTTGAGAGAGTGTATCGTATCTGGTTTTAACTACTACCTTCAAACCTCTAACCCCAGGTATTTCTTACTATTCATTTATGAATTTTGGTATCTACTCTTGCAAAGAATACACTGACTGCTTTAGGACTTACTAACTACTTCTGGCTAGTCTATTCTTAAGGTAAACCTAACAGAATAATACATGTCCCACATATTGTATATTCTTATAACTTCTTTCTAATTAGTACATATTGATCTGTTGTACCATATTTGTATCTTATAACATCTTTTGGGGTACTGCTATTCTATAGTCATTTCTCAAGCACAACTTTTCAATTAGGTGCCTATTATGTACTCCTTGCTCTTATTTAGTTTACAACAACCCTGATACCCACACTTGAACTGTCTTTATCTGGATTCTTTATCAGTCTCTCTTTTACTTCTAGCTGGCTACTCATAAGAGTCAGTCTGCTTAGGCTTTAGGTGCCTTATAATTACTCTCCCATTGGTTCATACTTTTGAAGCATATACTCTTTACTTCTGGTGTGTCAACCCAATAGTTCAGCTAGTATATCTCCTACTTAAAGACCTAATTGCTCAGTTTTTCAATCTCAGACTCTAGTTCAAATTCAACCACCCTGTAGTACTGTTAAAAATCACTGCTATCTACAAATTTAAAACTTTTCAAATAAGTTTTTAGTTATTCCAGTTTCTTAGATTTATTGTACCAAAGCTTACATTACTAGATAGTATAACCAAAGTTACAGATTTAGTTCTAGAACAACCAATAATTACAACTATCAACTATAACACAGATCTATTTTTCAAAATTATTTTTTGTGGAATTCAAACTCTAGACCTGCCACTTGGAGAGAGTGATGACTAGACCACTACACTAAGAAACTATACCTCAGTAATTATGTATAATTATAGTTGTTCTTCTTTACAAAAAACTAAAATTATAAAATTTTAATAGTAATATAATTATGTAAAGGTTTTTAATAAATTTATTATCTATAGAAAAAACTAAAAATTAATAAAACTAATAGAAAGAACTTGAAGATTTGGAATTAGCTTGGCAAGACCTAAGTTGAAAGTAATAAGAACCATAAAGGTGCCACAGAACTAAATCAAACTTAAAAGTAATAAACTAGAAAATTGAATATCATGAGATTCTAGAAGTGAGGTTTATCAATTTGACTACTAGAGTCATATTAAAAAATTATATATATTCTTGAAGTATGTATCAAGGTAAGAAAGACTATAAAACACCAAAGCCTAGACAACCAACTCTGTCAAACTAACTGGATTGGTAGTTTAGTAAAACCAAGAATATAGCTAAGAAAGAAAAAGTAAAGTAGGATCTCTAAATATATGCTTAAAGCTTTTATTACATACTTAAACCAAATTTTTCAAGATGTTTGTCTAAATATATTCAAAAATAAGCTTTTTGATAGCAAATTTGCTTGACCTTTAATATACACATTGCAGAAACTCTTAAATTTTTAAAATATAGCTACAAGATTATAATGTGATTGTTGCAATATCTTTATGATATAATTAATAAGTCTTGTAAGTTTCTGATAACAATATCAATTTTATTTTGTTACTATATCATTATAATATAAAATAATTTGTTATCTCTATTGTTTTTGTAAATAATACATTGTAAATATATTATAAATTCATTTAAGTAATTTATATACTTTAAAAATACTATCGAATATTACTAAATATATTTTAAATATAATATGATAAATTAGCATTTATATTTCAATATACTACAAATGTAATTTTAATAAAAATATTAAAATTTTTAGCAGTAACATGATTGTAATACTTGTAAATTTCTAATATAATTGCTAAATCTAAAATGAAATTACATAAAAAATATTTATGCAAATATCTAAAAGTAGATTAAAGAAATTACTTTGAGAATATTGCAAACTGAGTATGCTAAAATTTCAATTTGGTAATACACCGAGATTTGCTGATATAGTTTAAGATTCTAATTTAATATATATATATTACTTTAACATTCATTAATAATAATAATAATAATTATTATACTTACCAGAGCTACTAGAATCACTAGCATTGCTAGATATATGAATTGTGTCTTTATAAATAGCCCAAGAAGGTAGTTTATTTATTTTGAATTTAGATATTTTGATAGCTAGGCTAGAATAATGTTTATCCTCTTGATTAATATGAATATATTCATTAGGTTGAACTCAACTACTATTTCTTTCACCAGATTCATCAACTTTTATAGCATGATCAATTTGATTAATAATGCGAATTTCCTAAAATTTTTAAAATAAATAATATAAGTAAAATCAACTAGTTCTTAATAGGTAAAGGTTTTTTATATGTGATACTTAGAACCTAAATAAGTTATACTGTATATAAAAATAGTAAGTGATGATCAGTAATTTCAATATAACCAACCAAAATTAATTAAGAACAAGAATCAATCTGAATGCTATACAGTACAAATATATAAAAGAATAACAATGCAGATTACCTTTTCAGATCTAAAAGCCATTTTGGAAACATATAACTTTTTCTTCTATGCTTTTTGGGTGATGCTTCAGCTTCATTTTCACTTATTTTAAAAGAAGTATAATCGATTTGAAGAATTTTGAGAACATCCTTGAAAAGATGTGAAAAAGTAAGCCCCGATGCCTTTTTAGTTTGAACAACTGATTTCTAAAATTAAATTATTAATAATAATATAGTATTATTATATTTATAGTAAATAAAAAAAAAACAATAATAAAAAATACTAGAGTTAGGGTTCTGTAGTCTTGTGGTTTAAATGCCTAACCCTCTACAAACATGGTCAACAGTTTAATTACAGCTGGTGGTAATTAATTTAATTAATTATCTCTGTAACCTTTGGGGGCTTTTGAATGTGAAACACTGTGGTAGTAAAACTACATAAAGTATATATTTAGCTAATAAAGAATTCTTAGAAGAAGTTCTGAGCCATAGAGAAGATCGGGTACTGTTATAACATGGGTTATAGACAGTAATACTGCAGAAGGCTATGTATGTGAATTTGTAATTGGCAAGGGAGCACCAACAACCCTAAAGCACATTGAAATCTTGATTAGGAGGATGGCTATATGCAGTAGTAAGAGAAGTGATAAATATAGCAAGATGCTGTAGTAAGAGATTGGCTTTACCAAATATAGAACACCTTTGACACAATAAAGAAACAAGGAAAACTAGTTAAAAAAACTCTGAAAAGCATAGAAGCAAGTATACAAGTAGTACAAACATAAAAACAACTAGTGAGTATAGTTATACAACCTATATAAGAGTCTATGATGAAATACAGCAGAAGTATGAGTTCTGGGTTACTGCTTTGTAGCAGTAATTAAATAAGATTCTTAACTCCTGTTTTAAGAATCCAGACTTCTATATCACTATACCAATAGAGAGTACTAAAAAAGAGATGGTAGCCTAATTAAGTAGTGTACAATGTGAATATCTAGAACTATGTAAATAGCTCTACTAATAATAGCAGCAGGTGGCTTGAGATATGGGTCTTCAGACAGTGGTAGCACCTGGCTTGAGATATAGATTAGGACTCTGAAGTAACATCTCAAGGGACACCAAACTAGAAGCAAGAAGAGTGCCCACTCCCAGAATACCAATTTGGAAGTTATAAAAGAAATGCATTAGGAGTAATGTAACAAGTGATGAGAGTTAATTATAACTAGTGGACGTTATACAGTAGTATATATAGCGGGATATATATAAATTAAAATAGATGAGTATGGCCTTCTATTAATCCAGAGGAAAATTCCCTAGCAAGTTAGGGGCCAAAGAAGAGATAAATCTGTAGCTAGATGGTTACACTTGGGCACCATAGAGCAGCCGAGTGAAGCTGTGCAGTAGTCTGGAAACTGTAATACTATAGGAGGAGAGACCCAGAATATATAGAAATGTATATACTAGGTTACTATTACTATACTACTTTGTAATTACTTAACTATTCAGATGTAATAAAGTACAGTCTGGGAATATACCAAATTAGGAAAACGCATTCTAGAATGATCTACGGGGCAATTCTCTTATTTGATTGGCTCTCATGCA